AAATCCTTTTCTCCTTCATTTAGACTCCAAGATCCAAGCTTAGGGTTCTGAGCTACCCCAGCAATAACTGATGACATTTTAAGCACCTAAAATGAAAATACTCCCTACTCTTTGGCTATTAGTGATGCTACCAGCTGTAGCCAAGGAAACACAGAAGAACCTTAAGCTCAGGTTTTGGCAAGTAAAAAGCCTTTCAGTTCACCTTTTATGTAAAAGCTGTAATCTGCTAACTTGGCGCCAGAACCACTGAGAGTGAGATTTGTATGAGAATCCTCATTTATAAAATATTTATTTGTAAAAAGTGGGTGAAATGTGTGTTTTAAGGCACATACCTAAACCCCTCATTATGGATCAATTTTAGGTATAAGCAAATATTTGCCAAGAAGTGCTGCTTGGTACTGAAAGCTGATTTTCCAACAAATATTGTTTTATAATCTCTTCCTTTCCCATCAGGATACCCTATGTAGTAGGAAGAGAGCCTGAGACATAAGCCCTTGTATCAGAGGCTTGGTATGAGGCAGGACCTGCTCACAGAATCTGGCAAGAACAGGGCTGATATTGCAGAAATACACATTCATAAGACGTGCTAGTCACAGAGTACTCACGCAAACACATCCCGATAACTATGTCAGAGGGGCAGCACTAACTTGTTTGTATTGGGGTATAAAGATGTATCTAAGAGGGAGTATCTTTGTATAGCCTAGGGAGGAATGGAAAGGCCCGCCGTTCACTGAGCTGGTCCATCATTACGGGCATACATGTATTAATGGTTCAGTAGAGTCTGCGGTGTACTAATACCATACTTTGTCGACAATAAACCTGGCTGGGTGCCTTCGTCCCTTAACGGATCCTGTGGTCATTGGGCAGTTCGCTAGAGGTCTGCCGTGCCAGCTATCTGCGCAGGGCCAGGGTGGCACACGGAGAGAACACACACACGCAGCCAAACATCTATCAACATCTAACCACACCCTAGTGTTCAGTATTCTCTGCATCTCTGGTCATCACAAAATCTATTTGCTCACCTGTATCAAGAGGATGGTAATGACAAAACTAAGGACATTTTAATTGCCTGTTAAAAAAAATAATTTGCCTCACCTGAGTAGAATTTTGCAAGGCTATCCTACTCAGTTTTAAAAATTTATTAATATTAATTCAGTACTGCTGGTGAGTATGGTCAGCCATCTAATAATAAGTGTACTTTGCACGACTATAGCAACTTCCATTCAAGGATATTAATGTTCTTTACAAATATAAATTAATTTAAGACATACAGTACTCTTGGGAGGTAGGTTGGTATCATTATCCCCATTTTACAACTGAGGAAACTGAGGCAGGTTACTCCGGAATTCGACAGCAGAGCCAGGAATGGAGCCCATGTCTCCCAACTCCAGACAGATTTAAATTTGATATGCTCTGCATTTAAAAGCTTTGCCCAAATCCACAAAGGTATTTAGGCTCCTAACTTCCATTGAAATCATTGGAAGTTAGGAACTGAAACACCTTTGTGAATCTGGGCCTTTGCTCTTAGCTTTTAGTCTTTATCCATTCCACCATGGTGGAGATCTTTTGGCTGTGGAAAGTGCTTTCATTTTCCAAATATCTAAATTGATTCTGACAAAATGGTCCAGCTTCGGCCTCATGGCACACAGGTGTGCTCATTAAATAATGCAGGTGAACATGATGCTGATAGCAACTTTTACCACGCCTCGGAGATTTCTTACCTGCCAACTGTCCCTACCAGAGAGAGAATCCTATCAGATTTCCAATCCCTCCAATGAAATGCCAGTGGTGTTAAAATGTCTGCCCCTATTCCTCTCTCCAACAGACAGCTTTCAAACATTGCCAGCTGTAATAAGTCCAGCCACTAGATAGAGCCACCATGATTAGCAGGTAGAGCAGGTTTCACTGCACTGTATATTATCTGCATTGTTACAACAAATTGTTACTGAACAAAATGAAAAAACCCCACAAAGTAGCATCTGGTTAATTGTGTGTTATTGCTGAAGTGGCCATTTCTGGGGTGGGGGTTGTCTGTAGTACATGCACTGCTAGGCAAGCTGGCGTCTCCTTTCCGTCTCTATTACTCACAGCTTCCAAGCAACCACCTTGAATATGTGAACCCTCCAAATCTGGAATCTCTGAAAAGAGCAAGAGCATCATTGTTTTTTCTGCTCAGCAAAATGAGTTGTGGCCAGACCCTTACACAATCGGCTGGTTTTCTGCCCATTGCCTGAGGCCAGATCCTCTAGATATTTCTACCATGCTCTCTGACTGCCATCCCAAACTGCATGACATGGAGCAGCTCGCAACTGTCCCTCACGTTCAGTGAGGAGGTCTGGCCCCATGTGCGACGGCAGCTCCAACAAGCTGCGCTTCTTCCTGGCCCAAGCCACCAGCCCCCAGGGACTGCAGCACGCCCAGAGGGAACTGAAACCAGAGAGATAAAGATGGAACGTGCCCTCCTGGGCCCCGCCATCTCCATGGGCAGCACTGCACGGTGGTCCCTGCCGGGACACTGAGGGTGCCACCTCTGAGGTGTAAAAAATGGCACATCGGAACCACTTCAGCCAGGATCGCGGCTTCAAATAAGGGGCAATCCTGGGAAAACCTGGGCAGGTGGCAGCTCGCTCCCCAGGACCGACTCCCCACCGCGCTCATCACCCACAGCCCCTTCCCCACTGCTCGCTGCGGCACTCCCCACCCAGGGCCCCCTCCCCACCGCTCACCGGGCCTGCTGGGGTGCTCATCACCCAGAGCCCCCTCCCCACCGCTCACCAGGCGCTCCCCACCGAGGGCCCCCTCCCCACCGCTCACTGGGGCTCTCCC